CACACACACACACACACACACACACACACACACACACACACACACACGAACTGTAAATTATTCCAGATTATTTGTTTTATTTTTAAAAAACGTTAAAGTTGTGATCAGTTTTGAGTTAAACTTAAACACATTTAACAGTTTAATTTATATTTTCATTAAAAGATCATGAGCCAAATTTAGAGCTAGACTAAATAATAAGTGAAAATATCAACAAAATAAAAGCATTTTCCCTTCCTGGTAATTATATGTAGTCATTTTTACACACCTGTGTTTTAAGAAGCTTTGTTTTATTTATTTATTTCGGTTTCTCCTAAAAAGTCAAAGAAAACAAAATTATCTTCAAAGCCTGATGGATAAAATATTTAAAATGTTTATTTTAGGTTTTGTTTTTGTTTATGTTTAAACAGGACATGAACAGATTTCTCTCAACAAACTAAAATCAACAGGAAACTTGTTTAGTTTCTGTTTATATTTTATTTTATTTTATTGGGATTCAGTTTAAAGTCTTTAAGATCAAAATGAATTTATCTGTCAGGTCATTAAATAATTAAAAACTAAAACGTCACCAAGTTACTGCAAATAACGTCCAGCAGATTATTAATAATTCACTAATAAAACAACAAAAGTTGACAGGAATTCTTGTTATTGTTAATGTCTTTAGATTTTTATTCACTAAACTCGAGTTTAAAAAGCTGCGTTTGTTTCCACATTAATCCTGATAACAACAATAGCTCTTATTGTTAGCATTAGCATTTAGCAGTGGTGCATTCATGGACCAACAAAAATAACTTTTTTCTTAAACTTCAGATCAGCTGGTGAAGGTGAAACTCGGCTGATTGTTTGGCGTATCTCAAAATTTTACTTTTTTATATTCATCTATTCTTGGAGCGATTTAAATATTTACAGTTTTATTGACGGCTCAAAAGTCTGAACCAGGACCGGCGGGCTCTGAAGAGTCCGTCGTGTTTACAGAACCTTCAGTCGAGGAGAGTTCAGTAAAAACAGGAAACTGAAGCGTTTGTTTTCTGTCCTCAGATCCGTCGTCTCCACTCGCCTTAGCCCTCGCTGCACGAGAACGAGCGCTCACGGCCCGAACGCCGAGTCCTGAACCCCGAACCAAGCACACCTCGGCCTCCACCACGCCTGTTCCCACCCCGGCGGCCAGTCCAGAGTCCAGACACAAGCGCACCCCTTACACCACCCCTCAGAGCAGCCCCGAGCCACGGTCCAAGCGCACCTCCCCTCAGACGAGCCCGGAGCAGCGAACCAAACACACGACTCCACAGACCAGCCCGGAGCTGAGACACAAACGCATCACGCCACCTCTGTTTCCTGACGGACAGGTGGAGCGACCTGAGACAGAGGGAGGAGTCACCTCACCTGCTGCCCCCTCCCCTGAACGCTGGAGACCCTCCCCCCTGCCAGCACTGGCCAATGAGAGCCATTCAGCTCTGATAGACAGACGGAGAAGCCTTACAGTGGGCAGCTCAGAGGAGGAGGGCGGGGCTTACACTGTGACCCTCCCACCTGCCCTGCTGTCATCCAGCGATGAGGAAACCAGGGAGGAGCTACGCAGGATCGGTCTGGTGACTCCTCCCCCTGCCTTTGCCAGCCCCCCTGCACTTCCTCCTCCTCCTTCTCTCGCCTTGATGCCACGGCGAGGAGGAGAGGGGGGAGGAGAAGGCGGTCCTGAGTCTCAGGGGAGACGGGGAGATGAGGAAGAAGGAGGAGACGATCGTCTCCATGACAGCTCCTTGTCTCCCAGTTCCCTTCCCCCCTCCATTACTCTGGCCTCCCCTCCTGTTCCCACCTCTCCCTCCTCCCCACCAGCCACTCACCCGTCTCCCTCCTCCACTGTCACTTCACCGTCTGCCCTGAAACCCCGCCTCCGATCTCCGATTGGTCGGGGCCGCTCAGCGCTCCGGGACCCATTACTGAAGCAATCGTCCGACAGCGAGCTCCTCCCCTGCGCTGCGTCCTCTTCCTCCCCCTCGTCCCCACTCTGCTCCTCCCCCACCAGCGGCCGGCAGCCACGGTACCTGTTCCAAAGGAGGTCCAAGCTGTGGGGGGGCGGGGACGATGAGCGGCGGGGCGTGAGCCCGGAGGACGGGGGAGGACGTCCCGCAGCGCTGGGAGGACAGGTGTCTGGGTCAGCTGTGGACCTGACGAGCCGCTCGGCGTCTGCTCTGGAGCTGAGCGGCCGGGCCGGGTCCGGACTGGATCTGGCCAACCGACTCCAGCTGCTCAACAAAGACAGCCACTCTCTGGGGGAGGAGCCAAGTCCCCTGGACCCGGGGCGGAGGTCGCCTGTGGGAGGAGCCAGGTACGTTTTCGTCATGTGTCAGGAATTGAACAGACAAACCTTGAACCTTCTGTCGTCACGTTTTACTTTACAATAAAGTTTAAGAAAATTATTTTAGCACAAACACCAAAGTTTCTTTCCCTGAACCCAATCTGTAAATAACTTATTCAACAACAACAACAAAACAACAACAACAACAACAAACTGTTTTTAGGCTTCAGATGATTTTGTGAACAATAGTGTAAATGTTTTAGTCTTTTATTGTGAAGAACTGAGGAAAGTTCTTAACAGGAATATATTTTACCTCAGATTTACCCATAATCCTTGGCTACAAAAATCAAACGCCATATTACATATGGATATATATAATGACACAACAGTGTTTCTAAACTAAATCAGGAAGTGAAAGTCAGTTTTTCATTCTTATTGTAGCACTTTACAAAATAAAACATTGAGGTGCAATTTGTTACTGCAACTTCCTTACATCCTTCACAATAAGAGCCTCCAATCATCTGAAGTTTATAAAACATTACATTATGATAATTCTGTGATCAAACTCATCCAGCAGCTAATAAAAGAAAAGATTTATATCTTCAGGTGGACTTCAGAGGTTCTGCTAACACCAGAACCACAACCCGGTGATTTCTGTAGAAACTATTTATTTTCATCGTTTACCAGACGAGACCAGAAATCTGAATTTAAAAGTCTTTGGTTTAAGTTTAGCGGATCAGAACATTTTGAGTGAAAAGCTTCTTAAAATGAAACTTTGTGGGCTGACAGTTCTGAAGCGGGACCGTTGAAGGTCCCAGAACTTCCTGTTTGACTCGATGGTTCTGTAACCTCTGGTTCTTGGTTCTGCAGGTTGTTCTCCAGCCTCGGGGAACTCCACACCATCTCCCAGAGAGGATACGGGTCCAGCTACACGGTCCGACCAGGAAGTCGCTACCCCGTCACCCGCCGGAGCCCCTCCCCTTCCCCCTCCCCCTCCGACAGGTCCGTGGGGCTCCCCACCTCCCCGGCCTCCTGCTCTGAACGCCCGGACCTGAGCTCGGGTCGAGGTCTGACCATCCTGAAGTCGTCCAGCCTCAGCCTCCCCTCGGAACCGAAGGAGGTCCGTTTTGTAATGAGGAGCGCCAGTGCACGGACCAGATCCCGCTCTCCCTCGCCTTCACCCCACGCCTCCCCCTGCCCCTCCCCGGTGCTCAGCGGGCCCCTGCTGGCCCTGCGGCCGTGGAGGCAGCGGCCCCTCAGCCTGTGGAATAAATACGACGTCGGTGATTGGTTGGAGAGTTTGGGCCTGGCCGAACACCGCCAGCGCTTCCAGGAGCACGAGATCGAAGGCTCCCACCTCCCCTCCCTCTCCAAGGAGGACTACATGGAGCTGGGCGTCACCCGCCTGGGTCACCGGATCAACATCGAGAGGGCTCTCAGACAGCTGCTGGATAGCTCCACTTGACCTCTGACCCCTGACCTCTCTCTGATAGAACATCTTAGCTGTGACTGAATTCTCAGACCTGTCCATCGATACCCGGCTCTCAGCTCTTTGATCAACGCCACGCAACTGCTGGCTCCGCCCCCTTTGTCCCCAGCTCCCCGCAGGTTAGGCTAACCCGGACTTAACCTGGTTCAATCTCTGCAGACATGAGCTTTTGTTCAAACTAATGATTTTATTTTAACCAAGAGGAGTTAAGAGCTAAAACCAGATAAAATTTAATGATAACAACAAACTTGATCAAAATTAATTAATTTACAACCAATCACTAAATTAGAATGTAAGTCCAGAAGAGGTTTTATTTATGAAACATTTGAACAAGATCAAAGTCCACGATATATAAACTAATTAAAAACAATCTAGTAAACAATAAATAAAAACTAATTTTCTGTTTAACCAATAGAATTGTTCAGTTTATTGTTTGAATCTTATCAAAAAGTGTGAAATAAATTAATATTTGAAGAGGTGCAATTATCATTTTTCTAATATTAAAGTAAATACTTTTTACAAAATTAAAGATCAAATTCTATTTTTTTAGGCATTTTTTTTTAAAAACCTTTTAAAAAACTAATAATTTATTATTATACCCAATCGTAATTAAATTAAAGCCCCAGTTTACTCAACAACTAACATTCACAAGAATTAGTAAAATTTATTACTTTATTTTTATAAAAAATGTTTTTATATCATTTAATGTCAAAACTCCAAGATTAAGAAAACAAAATACTGTAATGTTTAGTTTTTAAATCTTAATTTTCTTTAATTCTAGCTGAGCAGATGAGTGGTGGGCGGGGCCTGATCAGACCAATCAGAGCTGAGTTTTTCTCCTTTTATGGGTGTGACTTTTTTATGTTCAACAAAAGTCCTTTATTTTGAAAAACCCTTAAACCAATAGAGGAAGAAGGACTTTTCTTCACTTTTTGTTTAAATTAAACCGGTTCTGATCCGTTTCTAGACTTGGATCAAACTAAACTGAAGATAAATGGAGACGAGCTGCTGGACACTGAGCCCGGCTGCCGGTTCTGACCCGTGACGAGGCGCTGATCAACGAGCTGATCAATAAAGAGGTCCTGCTTCCCTGGACCAGCTCCTGGGACTCTCAGACCCCCCGAGGACTCATCCTGTCCACATTTTGCTCTTTTGTTGTGCCGTTAACGGGATCATCTAGAATAATAATAATAACGTGGTGAGCTTGTGTCAGGAACAGGTTCAGTTATGATTTGACAATGATTTGAATTTCCGGTGAATTCATGATGATTTGTCGATGATGGCGAGTTTCAGGGATCTAACCTGCGCATCGAGGGCTTACTGTACACGGTGCTACCTGCTTAAAGCCATCTGTACAAACACCTTCCTCCTCCTCCTCCTCATCAGTCAGGAACAGGCCATATAAGGAGTTTCCTCCCTGCCATATAAGGGATCTTCTTCCCGCCATAAGTGGAGTTTTCTCCAAATGTAAAACAGATTAAACCGAGTGACCAGATTATTTAATCTGGAGTTTATCCACCCAAATCTAAACTGCACATGAAGCACAACAGAAAAATAATCTGTCTTTACACGACGTCACGACTCTTTAGACTAAAACAGATTTATAAAGATTAACGTCCTTATCGCTGATCCAACGATGCTGTCCATCATTTTAACTCCGATCTAATGTTTTTATCTGAAAACTGTTAACAAGGAAACAATTTACTGTGATTATACACACGCGTGTTAAAGCATTTTATATAAATGTAAACACTTTGCTACAAATTATGTTAGAAAGAACTTAATATTTTCAAACTTTTTAAAAGAATATAAAGTAGAACTTCTTATTTCTGTCTTTCTTTGAGCAATAGATTTAAAAACTTTCAAAGGAACGAGCTTTATTAAAGCTAAAATATCTAATCAGATATTGTCCCAGATCTATATTAAAGTTATTATTTAAGTAACTGAAGGATTTTAGACGCACTTTAAGCTGCAAACAACAAAACGCTCCTGCTGACGTCACATGACGACGTTTGATCATTTCAACGTGTTTCTGTCCTTAAAGAGGATTTTAAACCGTCGAGTTTTTATCAAACGGTCAGGGTGGAAGGCGGTTTGTGACCCGACACACTCCTGAAGCCGCTGGAGGGAGTTCTCGCAGGGCTGCGACTAAAACTAGAGGACACAAAGAAAATGATGAATTTAAATGTTCTGCTGCCGTCCCCCTGGATCCTGACTGATCCTGCCGGGGCACGACCGGGTTCTTGAACTCCCCGCAGGCCTGGACCCAGAACTCCCCGCAGACCTGGACCCAGAACTCCCCGCAGGTCTCAAAGCGCAGCCGAAGAGTTTACAGAAAGTACACGAGGATTGAGAGGCGCCACGTTGTTGAACGTGTTCACGTTCCAACAAGACCCGGAGGAGAAAACTGCGGGTCGTTTGGAGCCTCCAGTTATTCTCCAACACTCGCCCAGAACCACGGGGTCCGGCTGAAGGTTTCTGGTGAAACCAGGCGCCGTCCCCCGTCGACGTCTGGAACCTCTGCCTGAAAAACCACTTGTAGGTCGTTTATTAGAACCTCGAGTGTTTCAGCGTCTCCCGTCGATTCTGCCTCGAAAGCACAACTAAACTGTCAGTGCCTGTTTCCACGACAACCAAACCGGGTCACGCTCATTAAGCTCTTTCACAAAACAGTTCTGTGGTGAGCCGGCGGATCGAGCCGACCCCGCCCCGCCGAGACGTTTTGTGGCAAACGGTAACCGAACGAGCGGGCCGACGTTGAGCGTAGCTCGGTGGATCAGCGTAGCTACGTGGACCGTCTGACACCCGTCATCACTACGCCACATCTTTGGACCTGGATTCCAGCTTCCCCGGTCGGGTGCGGACCACCCGGCGCCGTTACTACCTCGCTCGGCGGCTCAGAGACGCGACAGCTGCGGGTTGACTCGGACCCCCTGGAGTCTCGGGCTTGAAGTGTTTTGTGAAAGAAGCTGAAGACTCGAGGACCTGAACTCCCGCCGAGCTACAGTCACATCCCAAAGTTGTACAAAGCCGAAGTTTTTTACGGGAACCTGCCCTCAGAGACAGAATGTAAATCTATAATCTATAATCAGCACATTATTTACAATATATCCTGAATGTTCTGGTAGAATAGTGTGGCTGTGGTGTTTTATATGAATTACACACAGGAAGTGAGATTCTGGCTCCGTTTGTAAACAGGAAACAGTTTCTGCAAGTTGAGCTGAGGTCTTCAAAGTAAAAGCAGCGATTAAAGGGCTGGCTCTAAACTTCTGATCCTCCACCACCACCTTCAGGTCAAACTGACGGCGACAGCCATAAATCACACAAACATTAAACACGGTCCAGGCGGTGATTTAAGTGTTCTCTTTGAGATGAAGCGTCTTGTTGCAGCTTTTTAATATTTTTAATGAATCGTGAACATAGTTAGTCAATTTGAACTAAATAAAACTCGTCTGTAAACAACCAAACTATTTTAAATCAGATCGTCTTTAGTTATTTTAAAAACATTTTTATCACTTGATTTTTAAACCAAAATCCTAAAAGAAACTTATAAAACTGGGTTTGAATGTTTACGGTAAAAAATGAAACTAGTTCTGCTCTTTAACGCTACAACAAACAGTGAAATCCTGGTTTTACTTCCAGTTTTTACTGTCGAGTGTCTTTAAATGAACAAAAACACTGAGTTTATAAAAATATAAAAACACGAGCTTCAATTAATTAAACGAAGGGAGAAGCCAAATGTTTTTGCTTCATTAAATATTTGTAATATTTATCTTGGGCTTTACGAACAAACTGGGAGTGAACGAATAAAATAAAACCGAGTAAACGTTAAAATATTTTAAATGTCCTCCGACAAACATGGCGTCGATTCCTCCACTGAGAAAACTAGTTCCCTATCCGCTTCCACCTGGTTCTGGTTCTGGTTCTGGTTCCATTTGCTTCATCCGGACGCATTAATTAGTTTGAAATGATCTCAACGATCATAAATACGTAGATTTATTCTTTAAAGATCTGAGTCAGATTAGAATAAATGTGTAAAATAAACCGGTTTTAAACCAGCCTTCTAAAACTAAATGGTTTCAGATAATAAAGTAGTTTTTTGTATATTTTAATGCATTTACACTCAAGTTTATCGTTTAGAAAGATAGTACGTTATAACTCTTGTACTGTTAAATAAAACAAACAAAAAAACATTAATCTTATTACACTTTTTCTAAAATATATTTCTAAAGATTACAAATAAAGCTCTAAAACTAGTAAATGTTTCTGGTTAAGTTTTATAAGTTTATAAAGACTTCAGCGACTGTAGATCCTCCTGAGCACCAGGGGGCGCTGCAGAAAAACATCAGGCTGACATACGCAGAGAAGTCATTTCTCAAGTTTTTTCTCCCTTTTTTTTATAAGTTTGACTCAGAAAAGCAGATTAATAAATTACAGGCCTTAATCTGACAGCTGTAGATTAAATTTGAGAATTTATCGAGAACCAGGATGGATCTGGAAAAAGACGGAGTGACGAGCTGCGGCAGCTTCCTGCTGGCCGACCTGAAACCTTCCTCCTCCTGGTTACCCTCCTCTTCCTCACTAGCTTCCTCTTTTTACAGTATGTTTGTGGTTTCTGGACTGAGTGGCGTGAGTTTACATGTAGTTTTCTCTTTTCTAAAAAACAGAGAGCACTCGACGACAACGGACGAGCTCTTTCAACAGATTGTAATCTTTATAATAAACTGTCATTTATTACAAAGTCAGCGCCGCCTTCCTGTGGATCATTTATGTTTTACACTGAAAACAGTGGCAGGTCCATGACCCCGGAGTTAATGAGCGATTCAGACACCATCACCACCAGTCCACCTGGTTAAGGTTTAACAACCAGTCCACCTGGTTAAGGTTTAACAACCAGTCCACCCATCAGAACAATGACACATAGTATATTGATCAAAAAAATAACACATACTATAGTATGACTTCCAAACTGGTGTAAAATAACACATACTATAGTATGACTTCTAAGCTGGTGTAAAATAACACACACTATAGTATGACTTCTAAACTGGTGTAAAATGACACATACTATAGTATGACTTCTAAACTGGTGAAAAATGACACATACTATAGTATGACTTCTAAACTGGTGCAAAATGACACATAGTATAGTATGACTTCCAAACTGGTGTAAAATAACACATACTATAGTATGACTTCTAAACTGGTGTAAAATGACACATAGTATAGTATGACTTCTAAACTGGTGTAAAATGACACATACTATAGTATGACTTCTAAACTGGTGTAAAATGACACACACTATAGTATGACTTCTAAACTGGTG